ATGTATCTTTTCAGTTTAGGAGGCTAGAAGTCTGAATTCAGGGCACCAGCTCTAGGGTAAAGCTCTCTTTCTGTTGGCTCTGGAAGATCTTTGTCTCAGCTTCTGGTCCTCGATTCCTTAGCAATTGTCACGTGGCATCAGTCTTCCCTGTTTGTCCCTAATGTGCTCTTTTTATCTCAAAAGTGATTGGCCTGAGACACACCCTACACTTATATGGCCTCATTAACATAACATAATCCTGTTCCCAAATGGGATTACATCCACAAGTATATGGGTTAGGAATTATGACACATATTTTTGGGGAACACAATTCAATCCATAACAGGGCCTGTCACCAGAACAGCAGCCCCAGGATGTCAACCCAGTGCATGTGTTGGGGGATGCAGTGCAATGGGTTTCTATTTATGTATGGCGTTTCTGGCCTTAAGTTTATAATTCTGCCAAAAATGATTGGTTGGGCCACAGTGTGTACTGTGATTGTTGTTTTACACACCTTGCAGGTATTGGTCAATTTACTATGCAAATAGTGGTGCATAAAACCACCCAATAGGATTGAGTGACTTCAGGGATTGATCAGTTTGTGGTCCTGCTGGGAGGGCCATGCTTTGAAATTGACAAGAGTTTGCTTATTTTTATAAGGGCCAGTCCCACAGAGGTTCAGGGAGGACCTCATTACCATGGAGAAGAGTCTGGAGCAGAGCATGTTCTTTGGACCCAGAGTCCCTGCAGTGAGAACCTTCTAGAACTAGAAAATAGAGCTGTAACACTGAAGACGGTACAAGACAGCAAGAAATGGCAGCAAGCACAGCAGAGCCCAGTGGCAGAGAAATGGTGGCAATAGTACAAACAGCAGAAACCAGGAAACCAGCAAAGATGGCACGGTGGGCTTGCCAGCCCATGGGGAGAGAGAAGCAGCTGCAGTGGGCTTGCTAGCCCATGGAGAGAGGTGGGTCCAGTGGGCTTGTCAGCCCATGGAAAGAGACAGCTGAGCACCTTTGGGCAGGAGGTTTGCGGGCAGAGTGGTGCGCCTCCAGGTACTTGTCAGCAAAACTAAAAGAGTTGTAACACTTGCCTGAGTAGGGCAGAGGCCTAGAGGGGCCTGGTGGCAGAACAGCCTGGGACAGGGCCCAGCAGCAGAGCCAGCAGTGATGGCAGAAGGCTGCTGCTAGGAGGGCAGCAGCCAAGTGGGATGCTATACTGATCATGAATTGGGCCAGTCAGCAGAGGGGAGGCCAGTGGTGGGTAGGCTGAAGGCAGAGAAAGGCACGTGCATGGCCGAGAGAAGGGCCTGCCTGTAGGTGTAGCAAAAGAAGGGTGGCCTACCTGCAGGCATAGCCGAGAGAAAGGGCCTGCCTGTGGGCACAGCCACGAAGGGATGGTCTGTGAGTGTGGCCAAGTTGCTGAGAGAGCTGTCCTGGTTGGAAGCTGTCCTGATTGACAAAGTTGATCCTGTCTACTGAGTTGTATCCTGTTACTTCCGAGTTCATCCTGATCCTGAGTTGCAGCCTGTTACTTCCCTAATAAACCACAACTGTAAGTATGATCTGTGAGTTCTCTGTGGCCATTGCAATGAACTGTCAAACCCAGCAGAGAAGTAGACAGTGCTGGGGTTGGGGGGCTGCTGGTATCAGAAATGGTGAAAGAGTCGGAGAGTGGAGGTAGGTCTGACCTCCACCTTATGGAAACCAGCTTTGTGCTGATCCTGATTCTTATCCCTCATGGATGTATATGAGTTCTGATGCTACATTACGGGGGAGTGGGGCGGGGGGTAGATGTCAGTGTCACCAAGAAAGACACAACTTGCACAGGCACTGGGTGGAACAACACTTTAATAGAGAAGAAACAGAGCAAGATCAGCTTCAATAGTGGGTGTTGGTTTCCCATGACCAACAGATTTCACTCCACAGCCAATGCATGGAGATGGTCTGCTGTGGTGCGATTACTCACTTTTGTGTGTAGCCCTTCTAGCCATGGTCTTGTAACTCCCACCCAGGTCATTGTGTGATACAGTAATTGTGGCCTACCAAGGGGAATGGTCAGTTTTGCCTTAAAAGAGAGCCAATTCCAGAGCAGGGGGAGGAGTCCACCACTACTAAGGAAGGAGATACCAGCAGGAGAGACCAGGCAGCAGGAGAACAGCACGGTGGGCTTCCTGGCCCTCAGAGAAAACTGAGTGCCTTTGGGCAGAGACTGAGAGCCAGGGAGAGGCATGCCTGCGAGCACAGCTGGGGAGAGGCTATCCTGATGGAAGAACTATATCCTGAATGTTCTTGAACCTGAATTGTCTGATAAACCCCATAATTGCAGGTATGGTCAGTGATTTCTGGGTGGCCACTGCAATGAATTGTTGAACCCAGTAGAGAGTGCTATGGGAGAGACAGCTGGTGTTAGAATTGGTAGAGATGGTGAAGAGAGGAGACAAGTCTGACCTCCACCTCTCAGGAATCAGCCTTGGGCTGTTGATCTTGGTTCTCCTTCCCCCTTGTGGGGTTGGAAGTCTGACACACCCCTCTTGTGCTGCAGATGCTCCCGCTGGGAACAGATACAGCAGTGGGGTTGGCCAGGTGCTAGATAATGCACATGCTTAGCTAAGCAATCCTGAAAATGTTCATATGCTCAGGGCAAAAGGGAAGGAATGTGCTGACAGACCGTTATCTGCTATGGGATGTGTTTTGGGTCAAGATACCCCAGGAAGGGAGTCAGCCTACACTCACATTCTGTCCAAGAAACTAGGCTAACACATCTGGGCCTAAGCACAGGTTCACTCATGGGTCACAGGGAAAGGTGGCAGGCTGTACTTGGATTGCCCTCATCCTCAAAAGAAAAAAACTAAAACCCTAAAATTGAATATAAACAAATAGATGAGTTATTAAATCAGTAACAAAGAAGCAATTCAAATAACTCTGAACACAGTACAAAATCATACAGCAATAATACCCACCAACCCACTGCCACCAAGTTGCTTCCGACACCAATATACTTGTGTGAATATAATATGCAATGTTTATATGATCACTGCAAAAACTGTGAGGGAGTGAATTCAGGGAGGAAGTAAGTGAAGGAAAAAAACTTGCATTAAAAACTGCAAAATAAAAGACTTGCATGAAATGATCCAATTTCTATAAAATTATGTGTCTACCTAGTCCTAACAGTGCGTGAAAAAATGGTCACTGAATGAATGTTAATGGTTTTTTTCCTCAGAAAAAGTGAGATTTCACTTGGTTATTCTTTTCATTATACTTTTTGTATTTGATTTAAAAAACAGCATATATGATATAATCAGAAAAAAATGACATTTCATTGGGAGAAAATACCAATCTGTTATCTGTGTATATAAAAAAGAGAAAGGTGGCATTCTGGAATGATCTTTTTATAGGGAAAAAAAGTCAATCTCAAGGTGTGACAGACACTTAGAGGTGGGAAAAATTGAGGGATTTCTCAAATTGTGCATGGTTGTTTTAGCCAGAGCACAAATAGACTATGGGGTTCTGGAAGTCTGAGATGTTTGGATGGGACTGAGCACAGAGTTTTTGTTTTCTTCCTGCCAAAATCTTGCACCCTTTAAGAGAATGAGATCAATGACAGGTCTCTAACCATAAAAATAACCATTGCCGTCGAGTCGATTCCAACTCGTAGCAACCCTATAGGACAGGATAAAACTGCCCCATAGGGTTTCCAAGGAGCAGCTGGTGGATTTAGACTGCTGACCTTTTGGGTTAGCAGCCGAGCTCTTAACGACTGTGGCACCAGGGCTCCAAACAGGTCTCTATGTGGCAGTTTATATTTGTCTAGTATTGGAAATTTATTTTAACTTACTGTTTTCCATTTAGGCCAGTTCTACTGTATTACTCCTTCTATTTAAGAAAGGAAGCAAATTAATTAATCCAGATTACATGCTTCCTGATATGTTGCAATTAACGCCCCAGGCTCCATCTTATTCCCAGTGAGCTAAAGTAGACCACTGCATACTTCTTGTCACCTTGACTACAAAGCTGCTCTTTTAAAGCTGCGCTACCCTTTCCTAAAAGGTGTCGTCTTCCTGCAGTCTTAACTACAGTTTGGAGTTTCTCAGATGAGGGGCATCAGCAGGGGAAGGGGAGGCAGAGTGGGAATAGTAAGCATTAAGCAGGGCAAAATGAGGACTGCATGGAAGAAATGAGGTGAGCTGAAACAAGGCAAGTCCTGGGAGTATAAATACTTAAAAGATTTTCCTGTGTGGCTGGCAAACTGATTCTGCAGACAACCCCAAACGAAAGAAGGTTCCAGAAATTTTGGAATGACTGTATAAGTGAAATTAGCATACCACCTCATAAAAAAACTTTGAAAGACAAGATTTAGATCTTTAAGTTCTAGTATGCGTGTTCAAAAAAGCACTATCATTTATAGTTATTACTCAACATTGCTGTTATTGTTAACTGTCACTCAGTATTACTCTTCAAAAAATGGCTAATGAAAGAAAAATAATGCAACGTAGTTATAACTGAGTTTAACCTTGAAAGGAAAAGACAATTTCTGAATTTAGGCTCAAGCTCAATGCCGAACCTGAGTTCTGTCATCACTTAAGAAAAGGCGTAAAGGCTTTTGACTTTATTAAGGAATATTATGGCAAGCAATAAAAACTTTAGCTTAAATAATGGTTGATTCATCTTTTTAAAGGGTGTGTAGAACTTAAAAAATGTCACAATCCAAAGTGAAGTTGCTAAGCAGGAAAACTTGCTCTTTTCAAACATCTTGATTAATGATGTCTGTGAGTCCCTGGGTGGTGCAAACGGTTAATGCTGAGTCCACACAGAGGTGCTTTGGAAGAAAGGCCTGGAAATCTACTTCTGAAAAATCAGCAATTGAAAACCCTACAAAGCACAATTCTACTCTGACACACATGGGGTCACCATGAGTCAAATAATTCCAGGCACTCCTAGGAGCTAAACCTGTATCAGTTTTTTTTTTTTTAACAACCAAACAAAACCAAAAACTGAAAAAAACCCAAAATATCTCTCCCTAAAAGTTGCAGAGTATCATGGCACCCTACTTTCTTAAACTCAAAGTACAGGTGACACCACAAATACTACTTGAGCTATGCTTATCTATTACAAAGACACACCAATGGAAAAGGATGGGAATACTTGAAGTGCAAATGTTTTATTTACATATTTATTTAAATACTTCTTTTCCTGAACTGAATACAGAATACAAGTGCTTCCTTTTCCTCAAGTAGTTATCTTGTTACTTTTTTTTAAATGTTTTGGTGTTTTACATACGTAAGAAAACAACTTTCTAAGTTTTGTAAGTCATTTCTATAACGAAAGCGGAGACTAAAATTTATTAACACTGCCATGCCCATTAAAAGTGCCAGTAAATGGATAAAAATATCACTGAACTTCATAGTACATATTAAACTACACTTTTTCCAACTGATTAATTGAAATTCATTATTATTCAATTTATTAATTGAAATTACTGATTAATTTAGTTCAGTTGATTCATTATACATGTTACTGTTAGAACTGGAGAAGGTGATATTTCAGAAATTTTCAGTAACATGTAAGACATGTTTTATAACAACAAGACATGTTTTATACTCACATTTGCATAATTATATAATTTATTAAAAAAATAAAAATCAGGGATGATAAATATGATTATTCATTGATTCCTTATATTTAGTTTATCCTTTCTAAGCTTTGTTATTTACAGTTCAATGTTTTCTGTGATCTTTTCTAGAAAAATTTTAGTATTACTTTCAGAACATGGCTGGCAGTATGAGTTTTTTTAAAAAAATGGGAACCTACTCTCCCAAATTCATTCACATTGTTGATTTCTCCACACTATGTATTCTCTGTTATTTAATAAGACTTACCTTATATTTAAGACTTTCATATTTATAAAGTGAATATTATATATGAGTTTTCTGATGTACAATAAGATTTGACCTCTGGGAAAATGCTTTCCCACATTTGTTACATTCATAGGGCTTCTCTCCTGTGTGAGTTATCTGATGTCTAAGGAGATGAGACTTCTTGATGAAGGCTTTGCCACATTCAATACATCCATAGGGTTTCTCTCCTGTATGAATTCTTTGATGCGTAACAAGCACTGATGTGTTGCCAAAGGCTTTGCCACATACAATACATTGGTAGGGTTTCTCTCCTGTATGAAATCTAGAATGTTTATAAAGGGATGAACTATACCTGAACGTTTTCCCACATTCCTTACATTCAAATGAGTTCTCTAGTGTATGAGATTTCACATGTTGATTAAAGGAGGAGTTCCAGGTGAACGTTTTCCCACACTCACTGCATTCGTAAGGTTTCTCTCCAGTGTGAAGTCTCTGGTGGATCACGAGTTGAAATTTATGCACAAAAGCTTTTCCACAATCATTGCACACAAAGGGTCTCTCTCCATTATGAATTTTCTGATGAGTTTCAAGGTGTGTCTTCCTCCTGTAGGCTTTCCCACAGTCATTGCATTCAAAGGCTTTTATTCCTACATGATTTTTTTCATGTCTAATGAAATGAAACTTCTTTTTAAAGGCTTTACCACATTCATTGCATTCATTAGAGTTTTCTCTAGTATAACCGCTATTATAATTAAGTAAGTTTAAATTAGGTTGCAAACTCCTCCCACATGATTTACACGTATATGATTTTTGTATTGTAGGATTAAGACTTGTGTTCATATTATAATGGTGGAGTCTTCCCATAGTTAGAATTTCACTGAATGTGAATGAAACTGACTTCAAAAAACTGTCTTTGCTTTCCTGGTGCTTCTCTGGTTCCTCAACAAGTAGGCAGTCAGCTTCTAAAAAGGAGTACAATAAAACATTCCTAGTTAATTTTTCCACCAACATGTTATAGAAGGAAACTTCTGTGGTTTTAAATTTAGTATTCCATTCTGAAACAAATCCTTTATTTTTCTTTCTAAAACTGCCGAAGAGGAAATGTGTGCAAATGATAATAATGAGAACAAATGGCTTAACTTGTGACCTACAGAAAGACAGTAAAATAGGCACAAAGTACATAAGCAGGGTACAAAGGAAGTCAAAAGGTTGCTCAGTAAGGGTGCAGGGTTAGCGAACAGAATGAGGAGGACCCATCTTGGAGATCTAGTTAAGGGATAGGGTAACTAGAGGAACATGAAACAAGTTAAGGGAAAGTATTGGAGGACAGACTAGGTTTGGAAGAGGCAGATAGAGTCAGAGTCTTCACTACCTAATTCCTAGATTATTCCTATCTCCCACATTCATGTCTCTTTTTCCTGTTAGTCACCCTGCACAACATCAATTCCTTTTAGGAGAATTCCGATATCACCAGCCCTCTCACCCCATCCAAACCACAGCTGAGGCATCTCTGTAGACAGGGCTCCAATTCTATTTACAGCTAGGATTCTTTCTTTCACATACTTGTAAGTCCAAGAGCACAAATGTCCAGCAGGTATTCAAGGAAAAGTCATTCTTAGCCAAGGCACAGATTCCGCCTGCTTACTATCATTTTATTCTGGCTGAGTTTCTGTACATGAAAGTGCTTTGACAAGTACTGTTTTTACATCCTCTTTTAATCTAACTAACAAACTAGTCCCCAGAAAGCTGCTTTGCTCCTGAAGTCATATTCTTTCACTCCTATTCTCAGAACTCTATAAATCCCAAATCCATTGCTCCATTTAAAAAAGGTTGGCAGGGGTGGTGGTGGTGGTGGTTATAATTCCCCACTCCTGAGGTTTTTTTCATGTGGAGTATTGGTAGGACACTGCTGGCCTCTTGCCCCATGCCTTTTTCTTCTCTGTGGAGCTGGGCTGAGTGGTGCGCTATAGTCATTAGCACACATTTCTTTTATAGAGTTGTTCTGAGTATGAGGAAGTATTTCAAAGGTGTCTGTCCCTCACTGATCAATGGCAATCTCATTTCCAAAGGCTCCCATCTACTTGGTTTTCTGTCACTCACCTGGATAGCTCCAACATGGGTCCTCTCCCTCCACCATCCATGGCTCTTGTCCTTGCTCCAACTTGAAGATCACTTTTGGATTGGCAACTGGACACCCTGTTCATGGCAAACAACACAGACAGAAGTAGGGACAAAGTGCTAGAGACAAACAACTTCCTCACAACTCAAGTGTGCCTCCTTGAGTCTCAGGGCCTTTAAAGGATGACAGATGGGCTTTGGAACAGAAAAGACCTTTCTCCTCCAGTTGGGAGGGAGAAGCATAAACATGCTCTCTGATCCCCAAGGAAATTATGAATACTTGACCACTGAAATTCAGGACTGAACTTTTTTTTTAATGATTGAAGCCTTGTGTTTTTCCCACCTTTTCTCAACTCGGGCCCAAGTCCTTCTCTTGACAATTTACAAAACAGGGGCTAATGACAGAAAATAGCACCTAGGGCAATTAGTGTTAAATTGCTGAATGATCTCTCATTCAATGGCAATGGGAAAACTGTGATGGCCAACAGAAAACAGCTCATTGGTGCCCTGCCTCAAGTGGCGCCCAGGGCATGGTGCCCTACCTGCTCGCCCCCTGCCCCAGTTAGGCCTCTGACAAAATATCCTTTATTTCCACCCTAGGTGGGAAGTTCTCTTGTTCCATAGTTAGGATTGGTGGATGTGAGTGAATCATAGTTCTGAATGTTCCTGTAAGGCTCTGGAAGAATCCTTTGAAACAGCTAGGGCTCACCACTCCTGCTCCTCCCCATTCCATACATCCCATCTTCACTTCCTTCTAGAGTCATTAAGAAGCTCTAGTTGTTTAACTCTATTGTTCACCCCCTCATACCAAATATGAGACCAACTCTTAGAAACCAGGCCAGATCCACCTAGTCAGAACTGCCTACAAGGGTCTGGGGATCCCTTGGCAGTGTCAAAGGAACTTAAATGAAGATGGTCTAGGTCACTAATCTGAACAGTCAGGATCCTAGAGCAGATCTTTTAAACAGTCATACTTGCCCCTATACTGTGCAACTGTGCACCAGGTTACCTTCAGAGAAGAAGGAGCTCTAGCACAGACTCAACTATTAACAACCTTCATTCTATGTATCTGATTTTGTTCTGCTTTAAGCTAGCTCATCTTGTGCTTCTTTTCTCTCTGGACTTGTAGATGAATAAAAAGAATATAGACTTTGGTACCACAAAGCTCTAGATTTGAATTCTGGGTCTTTCACTTACTAATGTGTGTGACCTTGAGCAAATTTACTTTCTGAGCCTTAGTCTTCTCACCTATAAGATGCAAAAAATAACGTCTATTTCTGGATTAAATGAGTTAACATATACAAAGAATACATATATGTGAGGGCCATGAACAGTACAAGATGGATCCTGCCTGCACAGGACTCTAGGAGAGAACCAGAGTACCTAACTGGGTGGTGACCTGAGCCAGGAAAAAAACACACCAAACACATGACTCCATGGTAATGACAATTGGAACCCATTAGCTAGTATAAAAACAACCTCATCCATCATAGATTAGACATGTTTTTTTCCTGGTTCTTGCATATAAGCACTAAGCATATAAATTCACATCCTGCACTGCCCTGCATGGACCTCTATCTGGGTGACTCTCAGAGCTTCAGCTGTCCATCCTGAGAATCTTGGCATCAACCTTTGTCTGTTGCTTAAGTTCCCTAATAAAGCTACATCCGATCAATCTGGCTTTCTCTGCCTCTTTTTTCGGAATCCAACTTGTGCCCCTCGGAGCCATTCCTGTGCTGGTCTGGTGGGATATGACAATATAGCACCCAGCATATGGTAGGTGCCCGGTACATGGTGGCTGTTATTTCAACTACAGATCAAACCACTCATGTCGCACCTATTCCACCTATATGTAAGGCTGAACATGGTCAAATGAGAGGGCAAAGGAAAATTTTTATTTTGCTCTTCATATATGAATCTAGCCACTATTTTTATTTTAGCTAGAACACTATGCTCCACAACAATGGAGGGAATTCTCCATCAGCTATAGAAAACAGGCTTTTCTTTTTTTGGCTAGGGCCAAACTTATTAATGCTGTTTCAGAATGCTCACAACTTTCAGAAGTCTTAAAGGAAAGGCACTAGTAGTGAACTCTGAGTTACAGTGAAAAATTATCCATTGCTTTACCCACGGAGATGAGGTTTCTAAAGTTTTCCAACATCACATCCCAATACAAGTTCCTCTGAGCACAATCAAGCAGCTGCCACTCCTCTGGGGTGAAGTCCACGGCCACATCCTGGAATGTCATCGATCCCTGTAACAGCACATTCATCTTAAAACTAAAGTGTGCATTGTTAGGGGGCTGGCAAGATAATCATGTTCACTATCGAGTTTTCAGAAAGTTGTATATGATTATTACTATACACTTGACTCAGAAATATACTTTGTGATAGAAACAAAGATCATATTAAAAATATCCAATCATTGCCAGGACAATTCAATGGGAGAAAGAATAGTCTTCTCAACAAATGGTGCTGGAACTAGTGTATATTCAGATGCAAAAGAATGAAGTTAAATCCCTACCTCACATCACATACAAAAATTAACAAAAAATGGACCAGAATAAATGTAAGAGCTAAAACTTTAAAACCCTTAGAAGAAAACATAAGAATAAATCTTTGCGACCTTGGAGTAGGCAGTGGTTTCTTAAATATCACAGAAAAAGCATAAGTGACAAAAGACAAAAAAAAGACAAACTGGACTTCAGAAGTTAAACTTAAAAAAATTGGACTTTAAAAAGTTAAACTTTTGTTCTTCAAAGGACACCATCAAGAAAATGAAAAGATGAGCCACAGAATGGGAGAGAATATTTGCAAATCACATGTCTGATAAGAGACTTGTATCTAGAATATATAAAGAACACTTACAACTCAACAATAAAAAGGCAAATAACCCAATTAAAAAATGGGTCAAGGATTTGATTAGACATTTCTCCAAAGAGATGTCCAAGATGCACATGAAAAGATGCTCAACATCATTAGTCATTAGGGAAATGCCAATCAAAACCACAATGAGATACCATTTTACACCCACTATGAGAGCTAAAATTAAAGAGATAAGAACAAGTGCTGACAAACATGGAGAAATTGGAACACTTCTACATTGCTGGTGGGATTATGAAATGGTACAGCCACTTTGGAAAACAGTTTGGCAGTTCCTCAAAATGTTAAACATAGAGTTACCATATGACCCAGCAATTTTACTCCTAGATATATACCCAAGGGAATTAAAAACACAATCCACAAAAAAACCTGTACATAAATGTTCATAGCACAATTATTCATAGCAAAAAGTAGAAACTACCTGGGTGTCCTTCAACCAAGCAATGGATAAACAAAACGTGGTATATCCATACAGTGGAATATTATTAGGCAATAAAAAGAAATGAAGTACTGATACATGCTACAACATGGTTGAAACTTGACAATACTGTGGTGGGTGAAACAAGCTAGTCACAAAAGACCACATATTGTATGATTCCATTTGTGTGAAACGTCAAGAATAGGCAAATCCACAGAAACAGAAAGTAGATTGGGACTAGGGGAAGGGGAGAATGGGGAATGACTGCTAATGGGTATGGGGTTTGTTTTTGGGGTGATGAAAATATTCTGAAATTAGATAGTGGTAATGACTGCACAACTCTGAATATACTGAAAACCACTGATGTCCACTTTAAATGGGTGAATTTTGTGGTGCAAATTACATTTTAATAAAGTCATTAAAAATATTGCCTATATACTCTTCATTCATTCACTCAAAATATTTAATAAGGACCTACTAGACACTGTACTAGTGATACATAAAGGAATAAAATTATTACTGCTCTCAGAGATCTTACAATCAGACTCTACAAAGCAAACATAAGTGCAATAAGATGTTATGGGGGCTATGAAAGATTTACATACCAGACACCACATAAACATAATAAAACAAACACGTGGATTTTTTTTTACATGATAAAATATATCCTCTCAACCACAAAACCAGATCATATTTAATGGGTAAACAATTAAAGCACTGAAATTAAAGTGATTTTCCTACATGTTTACCACAAAAGAGATAGTTAAGACCATATAGAGCAGGGATCAGCAAATTACAACCTATGGGCTGGCCTCTTGTTTTTGTAAATAAAAAGATATGAGAAAAAAATTCCCAATTTATGAAAAAAAATCTTCAAAAGCTAAAAAAATCCTTAATTTGAATTTTAAAAAATCTACCAGAATACGAGAGGAACCAATGAAATATTGCAAGTATTCCCATTAAAACTGGTACCAAAAAAAAATTTTTAGCTGTCAATTATCATTCAAAATTGTAGTTACTGGAAGTCCTAGACACTGCAATAAGACAGGAAAAAAGAAGGGAAGAGGGAGCTGTAAATATTGGACAGGAAGGTACAAAACTCCATTTGAGAATACATGATGTCTAACTGGAAAAATCTAAGAATCAACTAAAAACTCCTGGACCTAATAAGAGTCCTGTAAGCTGGCTGGATAGCAGGTCAACATAGATAAATCCATACTTTCCTATAAACGACAATAGCCAATTTGAAAATATAATGAAGATAAAAGAGCCATCCCATTCTCAGTAACAACTTAAACCATATACAGGAATAAACATAAGAAGAATGTACAAGAATTACATTTTATAAACCTATAAAACTGCAGAGGCGTTTATAAGAAAAACTAACCAAATGGAGAGGACTCCACTGAGTTACTGAAAAGTTACGAATTCTCCCCAAATTAATCTTAAGTTTAATGCAATCATAATAAAAATACCTAGTAAGCTGGTTTATGGACCTTGACAAGCTGCTTTTAAAATTCACATAAAAGAGAAAATGCTCAAGAATAGCTGGCAATTTTGGAAAAGTTGTAAGATTTACTTACGGATCCGGGTAGACATTAAAAAGGCTACGTAGCTGGACTTGAACAAATTGTGTTTATTTAGTGCTACTTGGCACTATGCTCTCTGCTTACTCTAAGAAAGTCATAGGAAATCTGATATGTTTAATCACAGGGTTATTGCTGTGAATGTTGTTTCCAACATTACCTGTATAAAAAGCCATTAAAAGATATTTTCTTCAGAGGAATTATTTTGCTTTACCTCATGTACAATGCCAACAGTTTAATTGGTTGGGTATCCATTTTATATGATTGCCAGAATCCTCCTTAGAAGCAAGGATGGCGAGACTACATCTCATATACGTTGGACGTGTTACCAGGAAGGATCAGTCCTTGGAGAAGGACATCATGCTTGGTAAAGTAGACGGTTGTTGAAAAAGAGAAAGATCCTCAACAAGATGGACTGACACAGTGGCTGCAACAATGGGCTCAAGCATACCAACGATTGTGAGGATGGTGCAGGACTGGGCAGTGTTTCATTCTGTTGTACACAGGGTTGCTATGAGTCAGAACCGACTCAACGGCACCTAACAACAACAGGAAGATTGAGTACACAGTTGCAGCTCAAATTTATCCAACTATGTGCAGACCCTATGACCTGATATCAACTTATCAAGTTAAAAAATTTCCTGTTGGACCCAATATTCTTGTCAATCTACAGTTTCCCTAATTATACATTTCCTTTTTATCACATGGAATTTAGGGAGATTTCAGTGACTAAATGAAGAGATGACTGCCTTACCTGGAAGTTGATCATTTTCTGTACTCTTGGACAGAGATCTATGAAAACAGAAATGGGGAGGAGAATACAGAGACATGAGAAGCCAGGACTGATGTAGAACCCTGCTCTACCAGACCAGAAGTACCCACATTGCAGCCTCAGAAAATGCCACCTAGTGGGAGAATGACCTTTCAGTAAGTCAGAAAAGTCCCTATTCTATAAGCACCAATATCTACCATGATTCCATTATGAATATATGGAACTTAGACAAGGATGCTGTGCATTTCTGTCCTACTGATCTAACAGCTAGCTGTTAACTTTTGAACCAGTGATTTTCTTTCTCTCTCAGAAATTTATCCTAAGGAAATAATAATGAATGTATTAAAAGACTAACAAAAAGCCTGGCCTCTGGTACTCAGTAGTTCTAGAAGTTATTCCTTCCTGTAATTCTCTGGACTCTGCACTGAAACTGGGATAAAGAACAAAAACAAAAACAAACCCTTGCCATCCAGTTGATTCCAACTCATAGGGACCCTATAGGACAGAGTAGAACTGCCCCACAGGGCTTCCAAGGAACAGTGAATGGATTCGAACTGCCAATCTTTTGATTAGCAGCTGAACTCTTAACAACAAGAGATCTCAAATTAGGACAGATCTCAAATTAGAATAGGCTTTCCTGGGAACACTGGATCCAAGGGCCCAGGAACAGTTAATCTGATTCCCTCTTTCTGGGAGCTCACCATCTCCTACAAGCCCAATTTGAGCTTTTTGAAGCCCTAACCAGCACTACTGAGGCCCTAGAAAGGTTAAAATGTGCAAGAGGGGCTCCCAGTTTCAGTTCCATTTTCACTGCAATATATGCAAATACACCAAGAGACCCTGAAAAAAATGACCACAAATTGAAATTTACTTGGCATTCATTGCTCAAATATTTCAAAAGGAGAATAAACCCAACTTGTTGTTTTAGGAAGGGTGTAATGTTGTAAGAAAGAATGAAATTTATCAACACCCATTCCTGATAAAAACTCTCAGCAAAATAGGAACAGAAGGGAAATTCCTCAACATAATAAACAGCATTTATACAAAGCCAACAGCCAACATCATTCTAAACGGAAAGAGTCTAAAAGCATTCCCCTTGAGAATGGGAACCAGACAAGTATGCCCTTTATCACCACTCTCATTCAACATTATGTTGGAGGTCCTAGCCAGAGCAACAAAGCAAGAAAAAGAAAGAAAGGGCATCCACGTTGGTAAGGAAGAAGTAAAAGTATCCCTATTGGCAGATTATATGATCTTACACACAGAAAACCCCAAAGAATCCACAAGAAAACTACTGGAACTAATAGAAGATTTCAGGAAAGTATCAGGACACAAGATAAAACGTACAAAAATCAACTGGATTCATCTACACCAACAAAGAGAACTTTGAAAAGGAAATCACCAAATTAATACCATTTACAATAGCCCCCAAGAAGATAAAGTACTTAGGAATAAATCTAACCAGGGACATAAAAGACCCATACAAAGAAAACTACAAAACACTACTGCAAGAAACCAAAAGAGAACTAAGTAGAAAAATATACCATGCTCATGGATAGGAAGACTCAACACTGTGAAAATGCCAGTTCTACCCAAACCAATCTACAGATACAATGCAATCCCGATCCAAATACCAACAACATTTTTTTAACGAGATGGAGAAACAAATCACCAACTTCATATGGAAAAGGAAGAGGCCCAAGAAAAGTAAAGCATTAATGAAGAAGAACAAAGTGGGAGGCCTCACACTACCTGATTTTAGAAACAATTATACCGCCATAGTAATCAAAACAGCCTGGTACTGGTAGAACAACAGATACATAGACCCATGGAACAGAACTGAAAAACCAGAAGTAAATCCATCCACCTGTGAGAAGCTGATAGTTAATAAAGGCCCAAAATTCGTTAAATGGGGAAAAGACCGTCTCTTTAACAAATGGTGCTGGCATAACTGGATATCCATCAGCAAAAAAATGAAACAGGACCCATACCTCACACCATGCACAAGAACTAACTCAAAATGGATCAAAGACCTAAATATAAAATCTAAAATGATAAAGATCATGGAAGAAAAAATAGGGACAACGCTAGGAACCCTAATACATGGCATAAATAGTATACAAACCATAACTAACAATGCACAAACACTAGAAGTGAAACTAGGTAACTGGGAGCTCCTAAAAATCAAATATTTATGCTCATAAAAAGACGTCACCAAAAGAGTACTAAAACCTACAGGCTGGGAAAAAATTTTTGGCTATGACATATCCACTCAGGGTCTAATCTCTAAAATCTACAAGATACTGCAACACCTCACAACAAAAAGACAAATAACTCGATTAAAAAATGGACAAAGGATATGAATAGACACTTCAACAAAGAAGACATTCAGGCAGCTAAAAGACACGAGGAAATGCTCACAATCATTAGCCATTAGAGAAATGCAAATCAAAAATACAATGAGATAACATCTCACCCCAACAAGGCTGGTACTAATCCAAAAAACACAAAATAATAAATGTTGGAGAGGTTGTGGAGAGACTGAAACACTTATGAACTGCTGGTGAGACTGTAAAATGGTATAACCACTTTGGAAAATGATTTGGCACTTCCTTAAAAAGCTAGAAATAGGAGTACCATATGACCCAGCAATCCCACTCCTAGGAATATATCCTAGAGAAATAAGAGACGTCACACAGATAGACATATGCACACTCACGTTCACTGCAGCATGGTTCACAATAGCAAAAAGATGGGAACAACCTAAGTCCCCATCAACAAACGAATAGATAAATTTTGGTACACGCACAATGGAATACTATGCAACGATAAAGAACAATGATGAATCTGTGAAACATCTCACAACATGGATGAATCTGGAGGGCATTATGCTGAGTGAAATTAGTCATTCACAAAAGGACAAATATTGTACAAGACCACTATAATAAGAACTCAAGAAAAAGTTTAAACACAGAAAAAAGCATTCTTTGATGGTTACGAGGGTGGGGAGGGAGGGGAAAGGGAATTCACTAATTAGATAGTAGACAAGGATCAACTTTGGTGAAGGGAAGGACAACACACAATACAGGAGAAGTCAGCACAACTGGACCAAAGCAAAAGCTAAGAAGTTTCCTGGACACATCCAAACACTCCGAAGGACAGAGTAGCTGGGGCTAGGGCCTGGAGACCATAGTTTCAGGGGACATCTGGATCAACGGGCATAACAAAGTTTATTAAGAAAATGTTCTGCATCCCACTTTGGTTGGTGAGTGGCATCTGGGGTCTTAAAAGCCTGCGAGTGGCCATCTACGATGCATCAATTTGTCCCATCCCACTTGGAGCAAAGGAGAACGAAGAAAACCACAGACACAGGAAAATATTAGCCCAAGAGACTAAAGGACCACATAAACCAGAGACTCCACCAGCCTGAGATCAGAAAGAACTAATATGGTGCCAGGCTATCACCAATGACCACCCTGACAGGGAACACAGCAGAGAGTCCCAGACTGAGCGAGAGAAAAGTGTGGAGCAGAACTCAAATTCATGTAAAAAAAACCAGACTTAATGGTCTGACAGAGACTGGAGGAACCCCCGAAACTATAGCCCCTGAACGCTCTGTTAACCCAGAACTGAAACCATTCCCAAAGCCCACTCTTCAAATATTAGACAGGACTATAAAACAAAAAATAATACACGTGAGGAGTGAGCTTCGCAGCTCAATCAGATATACGAGACCAAATGGGCGGCTCCTGTCCGGAGGCAGGATGAGAAGGCAGGAAGGAGAGGAACTGGTTGAATGGACACAGAGAACCCGGAGTGGAAAGGGGAAGTGCGCTGTCACACTGTAGGGATTGCAACTAATGTCACAAAACAATATGTGTATAAATTTTTGTATGAGAAATTAACCTGAGTTGGAAACTTTCACCTAAAGCACAATGAAAAAAAAAAAAGAATGAAATTTAGACAAAAGTTCATCTGGGTTTGAATCTCAGCTCTTCCACTTACTAGGCAAGTTGTATGAGTCTAGACAAGTAACTTCATCTCTCTCAGTTTCACTTAATTCATATGAAAAATGGTGATAACATTTACTTCAGATGACTGCTTTGAGAGCACCCTATGAAGAGTGCATAGCAGTTTCTCTCATGCTTTCTTCCCGGCTCCCTTGAAATGGCTTAAAATTTCCTGTCGCAGACTCCGGTAGAGCCAATGGTGCTCTTGGAACCTGGAAAGGTACAGTTTGATGCACAAACTAGACTCCTACACAGTGACCTTTACATACAAGGGCAGGAATGAAAACAGATCCGGCTCCAGCCCCACCCGGGCTACGGGTACTCGCCCAGTACCAGTCGGAGCCCTGCTCGTGCTTTCTCTTAAGTATTCCAGATTCGAACAGCCTCACACCAAATCACGAAGTCACCACATGTGAGTGTGTGAAGTTTTATCTTTGGCTCGTTAAATCCACAAACTGGTCTCCGCCTTTCCCCTCGTCCTTCCCTTTCGTCTCCCAAGTCCCGCAAAGTCATACCTGCCACCCTGTTCGCCGCCAAACACCCAGTTCTGGCTTTAAGGCCGGGATCAGGTAACAGCGTCTTCCAGTGCAGAGACTAGGAAGATACCTCCACTCTCACTTCGCAAATCGCCGGTTTTAAGATTGTAGAATACCGGATACCGCACTACTGCGCGTGTGCGGAAGTAACTGCTCACCCAGAGCTCCAGGCTTCTCCCGAATGTAGGCCATCTATCGAGAGACTACATTTCCCATAAGACCTGTGGAGGTCGTTTCCGGAAGGCGTCAGATGCTCCTCCCTCTTTTAGGGAGATTCCTAGTTTAGTATCTCTGGCGCTGTTCTGAGAGCCCCGCTGCTTATTAAAAGGGAAATGTCTATATAACTTTTCTTTTAAAAAGATAGATAATCAGAATTTATAAATACTAGAAAATCGAAACCAGCTGTATGCTAAAAGAGTATTTTACCCTTACCCAGTAGTTTCTTCTAGCAATGCACTAGCTTAGCTGGGGGGAGATGAAGAGGACCCAACCACGAAGACTAAGAAAGAATGATCCGTGAGGTAGAAAAAAAAAATAGGCGAGTTTGGATCTGCAAAACCAAGAAAAGCAAATGTTTCGAGGAGGACAGAGTGATCACTGTGTCAAATGTTGCTGATGCACCAAGTAAGATGAGAGCTAAGAATTGACCATTCAGTTGAGCAGTGTGGTAGTCACTGGTGATGTTGACTCATGCGGTTTGGGTATAGTGGAAGTTTGATGAGTCTGGTTATTTGATAAGAGTGGGAGGAAAGAATGGGAGAAGTGGAAGACAGCAAAGAGACACACTTTTAAGAAATTTTGCTTTTAAGATGAACAGAAAAATAAGGCTGTAGTTGGAAATGGATTTTGTGTCAATTTTTTTTTTTTAATTTAAAGGTGGAAGAAATTACAGCATGTTTGTATACTAATTAAAATGATCTAGTAGAGAGGGAAATTTTGATAATACAGGAAAGACAGGATAGTTTCAAGAACAAAGTCCTTGAGGAGAGAAGGGATGGATGGAACCCAGTACTTAACTGGAGGGATCAGTTCAAAGTGGGACTATGCCTAATGTGCCTAGCTTGATCACAATGGATGATCTTAAAGGATGTGACCCTTGGAATAGAGAGACTGTTAAACTTCAAATTGATCAGCAGGAAAATAAACAATAGCAGTCGCTCACAATAGCAATGTATCAGAGAGACAGAGAGGAAAGCAGATTGAGAATGTACTAGATTCCAAGGAATATATTAGAAAACATTAATGTATTTGTTATAGTTAAATATTTTAAAATTTTTGGGCTAACAATTGTAAGCAAAACAATATCCTTTTATAAAGAATTAAAGTAGCCTGCCGTGTTTAAATAGCTTTTGCAGTATAAATGAATAATAAAATTAGATAATGAAAAACAAAAACAAAGTAGGAGCATGGACAATTTATCCACTGGAATAGAAGGGGAGGCAGAGTAT